AACCAATGAGAAAATTCTCACCATGATCAACCAGTACCAGTGTGATGACACTTTACCCATAAACCCCCTCTCCATGCTGCTCAACGGCATCGTGGATCCCGCCGTCATGGGCGGCTTCGCCAAATACGAGAAGGTCAGAGAGACACGGTGAGAAAACAGAGAGAAGCGCTGAGAATAGATGCTGATGTGTGTGTGTCTTTCTCCAGGCGTTCTTCACGGATGAATACATGAACGAACATCCTGATGACAGAGACAAACTCACGAGACTCAAAGACCTCATCGCATGGCAGGTCAGAAACATCGGACCATTTGTTTGTGGCATTGATGCTAGAAAACTTGTCGAGTCATGTCTGGTTAGGACAGACGGTTAACTGTTGTTTGTCTCCTGTAGATCCCGTTGTTGGGCAGAGGAATCAGTCTGCATGGAAAAAGGGTGACTGATGACCTTCGACCTTTCCATGAACGCATGGAGGAGTGTTTCAAACAGCTGAAGAAGAAGGTGGAGAAGGAGTACGGAGTGAGAGAGCTGGTAAGGATGAAAGTCAGAAAGCAGAAAGAAAAAGAAGGAAGTGGGAGGAAAATGAGTCAGCAGTCTGCATCCTGATTTTTTTCCTCTTTTGTAGCCGGATACGGATGAGAGACGATCCACTCGGCCACGCTCTATGCTGCGCTCGGTTCGACAGTCTATCTGCTCATTGGCTGGATCTGAATGTGGAACGCCCACTAAGACACACCCAGAGAGGTGACCACGCCCACATGTGTATCTATAACATGCTATGATTATTCCTGCAGTTTATGTGATGATATGGATGCTGTGCACAGTATGATGATTTTCTGTATGCAAAGTGTCAACAGTTTTTGACAACTGCATGGATTTTTTAAATTATTATTTTATGATGTTTTATTTTACAATATTTTATAGAAATATATAAAAGACAATATTTGTTTAAATATTTATATTTTAATTATTGTATTAATGTTTGTTACTTATATATGGTTTTATTTGTTTTATTCATATTTATAAACATATTTAGTTTTATTATTTTTTGTGTAATATTTATATTTTAATTATTTTATTAATATTTGTAATTGATATACAGTTGTATTTGTTATTAATATTGTTTTAATGTTGACATTTTAATAATTTTATTATTTGTTATTAATATATTGGCTTGTTTTTATTATTTGTTTTCATCTTTATATTTCAATAATTGTATTATTATTTATTATTAATACATTGT